GTCGAAACGATCGAGTCCAAGTTATTGAACGAATGAGTCAAGCAGCGAAGAAGAATTAAGCGTCTTACAATCTGAGCTTCACAAACGTAACAGCGTCGTATTTCGCGAAGGAATTAGAACGAAGCTGATTGAGAAAATATAAAAAGATTCACTTGTATTGCCATATAAATTCAATTACGATGATTGCACTGGCGTATTAAATAAATCTGTAATCATTATAATAACGTAGAGAGATAAATAGAGGAAAAATTATAAGAATTGAGAATATTATTAGCGCAAACATATCGGACCATCGCGGACCACATAGTGTGTAGAGATATTGATTTCACGCCAGATGTTCATCGTAAAAATGCCAACTGCAAATTTTAATTCGTTAGCAAATAAAAAAGTATTTTATCTAGAGATAGAATAAACTGCGCGAACGTGTTACGAAAATCAAAAGAAAAAAAGGATGATACGCTCGATCATAAATCAATCTGTTATTTTAGTATTTATAACGCATTTATACATGACTGTCGGTCATACGCGACGATACGTAGATCAGACACGTCGCGTGTGACAACCCGTTTCGCTTAAATCATGCTCGATGGAAACTTGACGTCGGATGTTCATAGATTATCCAGCAAAAAAAAAGAGGAATAGCGAGAGAGAAAGAAAAAGGAAGGAAATGAAAGTCCAGTTGCGGAAATCACAATATACATAAGCAGCCGAGAATCAAATATCTCTTTATCAAATAAGGTCGTATCAAGCACTCAACACTTAATTCCTCCTCTCGATCAGAATCTCTCTTGATAACATTTTCCTACCGCAGAGAGACGAGAGCCACGTTTTTCGATTACGTGTTCTTTTCAGCGAAAGAAATATCCATTGCGAGAAGCTGTACGTTGGTATTTTACCCTAAGCGATGTGAAACCTCGAAACAGTTTCAGCGAAGACAAATGATTCCGTGAAAGTAACTGCTTCATGGCTTTACTTTCAGCAAAAGTGGTGTTTTATGCATGGCACGTTATTAATAAGCAAATGCTATATTTAATAACATGATAACTTAATTTTTACATCGATTTCTCGTATACTTAATAACATATTATTAGAAGCAATTTATTATAAGACTGAGCAGTAACATCATTTGCTGCTATTATCACGAAAATATAATAAATCAAATTTTCATTTGAGAGAGATGTTAAACCGATTATTATTTCTTAATGTGGAAAAAATAATAAAGAAAAACTCAATTGAAATAATGTAATATTCATTATTAATGTGTGTGTTGATACATAATATAATAGTACAGATATTTTATGGAAAAATAAATCAATCCGGAGTATTTTACGATTCGCACGAATTACTGCTTCTAAAAAAATGTTATGTGTTAATACATTAAAAAAGACATTTATAGTGTCAACCAGCAAATAAATTTTAATAAAAACATGTACATATGTTTTATGAAAAAGTATATTTATGAGATATCTGAATTATTAAAAAAAAAAAGAAAAATAAAAAGTTTGTTATTTTTATTCTATGAAAAGAAGTTTTTCCTTAAAGTGATAATATCCAACTTTCGTATCATTGCGTCTTGTCAAATAGTCTTTCATCCTTCGCGATCGATACTTTTTTCACGATGTGAGAAAAAAAAATCAATGAATTCCAATGTGTCATCCTTTCGACAAAAACTCTGGTACGTTACAAGCGTAATTGCGTTTCCCTTGCAACGATATATAATATACGTACAAAGGAGATTACCTTGTTGAACGAGACTAAACATCTCACTCATATAGCTTTTTCAAAAAAATAAATTATAAATAAACGATACACAAACAAATATATTGTTTCTCAATTAATAAGTTTTTTTTAAACTAAACTAGGTACACTTTTGAAATTTAAAATAAAATAGTATATGTTGATATTTGGTTAAAATAAGAAAAAAGTTCTAGTGCAGTCTAATACAGGAATAAAAAAGAGATCCAATGATTCTTCTCGACTACATTTCGTTTCTACTAAATCTCGTAAAGTGTATCTGTGTAAGTGTATAGTACAATTCGCGTATGTCCTGCGAATTATTCTTTTTTATACTGCCATATTACAGAATAATAATAATACGTCATATAATGTTTATTCTGATAAAATTATATTAATAGTTGTATTTGATAAAGTTAAAATATTGTATAAATATTGATAATTTCAAAAGTTCTAATATTTTAAATTACTGTGTGATATTATAATAAATGAAAAATAAAGCGCGAGTAACAGTGAAAAATAGCATAAAATGATATAAATCGAAATACAATAATCATAGTAGTTTGTACAAGTTCTACTTTGGGAAAAGTTTTATGACTTTGGCTTTTATCACATGGACGACCGCGTTCAATCTTTGATCTTCCGCCCATTTTTATCCATCCAAGGCAATCGACACTTTTTCTTAAATCGTTATAAGAAAAACACATGAGAAAGACATCGAAAATCCATCGTGTTATCCTACAAAATTACATCGTGTCGATGCACAGATTACATACAGGATTACATCACATTATTGCAATATTTGAAATAAATATTAAAATCATCAAAACTATTAAATATTATAAAATAATTAAATTCAAATAATTAAAATTATATTACAGTTTATCAACGTAACTACCTTTCTTTTTTTTTTAAATTATTTTTCATTCTGTCATAAGTATTCAGTAATTCAATTTCTGAATAATTACTAAGATAGCAAGTTTATTTATCAAGTGTTAATTGAAGTCAAAATGACATCACTTAATGTTATTTTGATGTCGAAATGATTACAAATAACATCACTTTGCTGGGTAATATTCTAACTAAATAAGTACGGAAGTTAATAAATGTATAAAGTATTTAATATATTACTTAATCATAATTCACGTCATTCTTGCACAATTTTCGATTTTATATTTTAAAAAAGTTACAATATTTATAAAACTTTAATTGCAAATGTCATGCGGTACTTTTTCTATATTCCACTTTATGAGATAAAGGTATCTCGTTTCTTGAGAGGAATATTCAATTAACGCTTTTGCATTTAATGAAGACGAACACTCAAGCAATGTCGAGAACCGCAAACGTTATCTAGTTACTTGCAAAATCGAATCTACCTGCAGCTGATACACGCGTAAGAAATTTCCTTTCATCCGAAGATGTTTGTGACCAAAGCTGTATACATCTCAAATCAAATGATGCAATTTACTAGAAAGTTTATCATAAATTCTTATTTATTTATTATCAAACTACGAAATGCATTTCTGTGAATTGTAATTTCCTGTAATAACAATTTACTACATGTTGAATTTATAATTGAAAGTAAAGTCTCCTATTTCATATAATTGTGTCAGAAGAGCTTCCCAAAAAAGATGAAAGATGAAAGCAAGACGTAGATAATATCTATTTCATGCTCCTTACATTTTCATTTTGCGCAATATATTACCACGAAAATATGGTAAATTATGCTTTTATTTGAGAGTTACGATGTTAAGCAGATTATTTTTGCTTAATATAGAAGTAATAATGAAAGAAAATTCGATTGAAAAAATGAATCATTATCGATAATGAATGGAAAAAATATTATAAAGCAAACTATACAAATTATGTAATATAAAATATGCTATGGAATAAGAGAAAGGAGAGAGTGGCGACAAAATCGTAATAACAAGAACAGCATAAAATTATTTTCAATTTATCTTTTTAAACCAATCTTTAAAAATTATAGAAAGCACAATAAAACATTTTTCCTAAAATTTTCATATTTGTTTAACATATTTTAATTATAATAAAATAATAAAAATAAAGTACTAAATATAAAATCCGGATATTCGATATTTTTCGTAGTATTTTTACTTAAACACTTATAATACTTGAGTCAATTAATGAACCATTATTCAGCTAAAGCTTCAATAACTCATGTTTTTAAGAGAGAGAGAGAGAGAGACAGAAAGCGAGAAAAATGAACCTTTTCTCATATCCGTACCTTTGATTATTTAAACGTCGTCAATTTTAAAACTATAACAATATTGAACAAGTAAAAATATGTGTATAAATATTGTGTAGTATAAATCAATAAATGAATGTATCAAATTGTATGAAATATTTAAAATTATATAGAAAATTGGGACTTTAAGATTCAGACGTTAATGAAGAATTTTATCTCAATATTCCTACTAAGTTTTGATAACCTTTTTTAATATATATAATTTAAAATAGAAATTGGAATGTAATAAACATTTCTGTTGTATATTTTATGCAAAAAAATAAAATCTTATTTTTAATCGTACTCAAAATATCTTTTGACATCCTTTATCATTAATTGAAATTGTAATGCTATTGTAGTGTTTAAAATTACAAATATAGTAATTACTCTATTTCATTTCTTATTTGTTGTCATTCTCTTATTGTCATATATTATAATACCTTAATGTTATATATATTAACATTTAGATACAATTTATCAGAAAAACGGAAAAATAATAGAAAAGTAATAACGACAATACTATAATGTAATTATTGTTAAAAAAATATATATATATTATTACATTTAATAATTAAGCAAAATATCTATTATTATAAAATTTAAAAAATTTTTAATGGGATGATTTTATTTAGAATGCGTATATGATTTATGTATTTTGTATCTAATATATTTAGAAAAAATTATTGTACAAAACAATAAAATTATACATTTTTAGTTAAATATATATATGTATAATAAAAACTTATATGTAATTATTTTTAAATATGCATATAAACAATATTTGTATACGAAATAATGATTATTAAATTAGAAAACACTGTGTATGTATTATACCATATACAAAATATTTTTTAAATAGTTACTAACTGACATAATTAATATTATATCTATCTCTCAGTACAGTTTATCGAAAATTCGATAATTCTTATTTTATTAAAAACCAATACAGATTTTAATCGAAAATAAAAGAATTTAATTATTTGTTTCTATGCAATATTAATTTATTTCTTTCAAAACTCACCTTACACCGTGGACGATTATAGTCCTCGATCTCTTCTTGATTTTTTCAGGGCAATCTGCATCCGTCGCGTCCTACGAAATCTATGATCCTGGCATTGTCAACGCGAGAAATTCTCTGCCTCGTGTAGTATAAATTTATCATTTTGAATATTTTTATTACGACATTGGAGTTTTGATTTCATCTCCGTTATGTACGATAGAGAATTAATAAAATAAATCGTCGAGACGGAAAGTCACGTATTCAATATGCGAAATGGAAGATTACGTTGTTGTCGGTTCATTTCTTTCTCGATATTAGAAATTTCTGTTTCGCTGAGCCTCGTGGCATTCACCCGGTTCTGCTCTCGCTTATCCTCGTGGATAGTGTGCTTTGCTTGACAGGGAATTCATTCGTTTCACGTCACAACGATGACACCAGCAAATATTATACAAACGCAAGTCGTTCGCTCCGTCTTCTCGTTACGTGATATCTCTGATAATCGTTATGATATTACAGATTAACAGTTATTACAGTTAGAACATTTCATCGGTTATTTATCTTCGAGATCTTCGACAGTTTGACAGTCTTTTCTATCCTCGAGTTATAACAGGTACGAATACTCCCAGCTGGATGTACTTACAAATTGCTCCGTCACCAAGAGGAATCTTCGTCCGGGAGAAACTCGCTCGTTGTTGGCACGCGGTGCTAGATGTGAAGAACGGGGATAACTTCTAGAGCACACGTGGAGCGAACGTGCGTACTACGTGCGTGGGTGGTAGAGTACTACTGAATTTCACGTTCGCGAAAAGCCAATCCCGATCCACCCCCACCGCATCGCATCCTAGGCACCCTTCCAGGTCCTCTAGCACCCTCTTCGCCTTCCCGTTTTACCACCCAGGACTCGCGCACGGGCACGATTTCCTCTCTCTCTCTCTCTCTCTCTCTTCTCCCTCCTTCCCTCTCTTTCCCCCTCTTTCTCTCTCTCTCTCTCTCTCTCTCTCTCTCTCTTTCTCTCTCTCTCTTCCTTCTTTTCCTCTCTCGGTCGAAAGCGAGTTTGCGCCTCTATTCGCTTCATCGCGACTACTACACGCCCTGCCGTTTCGCTTCTCTCCGCCAACAATAACGTTCGCGACAATTTCTTTCACTCATTGGGTTTACCTCGCTCGCAGACGGTTTCGCTCGACTGTCCTTTTAGAGAGAGGTAAAATGCCTGCCGAAGTAACGGCGGCTTGTAGTACACAGGGTGTCTCAGATCTACTACGCTACTTTCCATTTATCTTTTGAAGTCAATTCTAAATTTTAAATTTCTCTTTATAACAAGAACATCGTGAGACTAAGAGTCTCGCAAACAATCCTTCCAAGAATTAATTTCACTAAAATCCTATAGAAATAAGATAGAGTAAAATAAAATTAACAAATCGACGAAAAAATTAATAGATAAAAAAGATAAAAAATACTGTCCATTTGCATATCTACTTCACAAAATTTAAGAAATGTAGGATAATAGCAATTCTCTTAGCAATTCTCTTTAGCAATTTCTTTCATGTGAGATTGAAGAAAATGTCCTGTAGGCTATAGATATATACTACATAAAGATCGTAAGATGCACTCTCTGCAGAAACTTTTTTTTACGAGGAAAAGTGTTTACTCTTGAAACGTTCTGTATTTTTGTAAAACATACAAACGAATGTTTCGATTTCTTTTATTGGTGATGTGAAGTATATTAAAAAAAAATTTTGTTTTTTAAATTCCTTTCTCACTTTCAGTGTTTGTAAATTGATTGCATCAGCATATTTTTCCGAATTCTTTTCATAGGCTACTTTAATATTTGCGTTCGATTCCTCTGTTCAATCGTACTTCTACTAATAGAAAATGAGAATGATTGCTTCACGATTAACGTCGTCATATTGAAAGGGATGAAAGAACGTTTGAAGAATAAATTCTCCTTTGTAATCTCTCTCCTAAGCTTCTTTTTCATAGATATAATATCATAATTATTTAGTTTTTTTCTCTCGACAATTGCTTTGTTTCTATGTTTCTATCATTTTGATGTTACGTTTCTCTCGTACAAATGCAGCAAGATATTCTGCTTTTCAATCTCCATAATGAGTCATTCTCGGGACAAAAGAGAGAAGAATAACTTGGGAAATCTCAAGGGCAACAATTGAATAAATGACTTAATTAAAAGGATCGCTGCAAGTTAAATTTAAATTAGGCGTAATAAACGGAATGTCGTCATGTTATAAAAAATATGAAAGCCAGTATAATTATTTATAAATGTCAGAATAAAAAAAAAGACATTATTTTTTATGTGCAACATTGAAATACTCATAAAAATTATATTAAGCAAGCGGAGCGTCATTTCTATTACTAAAAGTGTTACATCCTCTGTTACATTCTCTGATGAACATAATTGAGTAACGTTCATGTATTCTTAATGAGACTTAACAACGCACCGAAGATAATCCTTCGCGCGCTCGATTTAAGCAGCCGAGATAATATCAGCTATATAGATAATATGGTAAAATTGCGAATAAGTTTATCAAGATATCACGATATTTCTTTCCGAAAATTTCGAGAATTTCGAGTACTCCATTTATAATATTCTTGTTATGCTCAAAATTCTTCAATTGTCGTCAAGATGTGTGTGTGTGTGTGTGTGAACAATCGTTGCTGATTCCTTATTGAAGGTCTCTGATGAGATTGGTCACTTACAAATAGCCGATGATAAGGGTCTATCATCGGCAAGACTGAAAGTTTTTCATTCTCCATGACAACATCGAGAGTCAATCGGAAAAAAAAAATATGTTATTTAACATTGTCATTTCTGATATTTTATAATCAACATACAAAGACATATAGTGGACTTTCTGAGACGTGGAAAAATATTAAAATTACAATACAAAAATGTTTATTTTGACATTTTTACATGTCCCAGAAAATCCATTATACGTCTTTACGTTATGTCTTTTACTCCGATAGTTATGGAACGTAAAGTAACTTAAGAAGTAACAAACTATTTAACGATCAATTACATAATTCATAAATATAATCTATTTTTTCATATCGTTGTTTGATTTGATAAAAAAAATCTTTCTAAATGTCACGCGTTTTCTTGTGCAATACTATTACAGATTTACTTTAACAGACTACATACATTCTAATTAACACTCGTACTAATGAAGTCTTTAAATATATCCAAATTATAGAATTTCGATCATAAATTTCAGACGTCAACTAATAAATATCAGAAATGAACGTATCGATAGAATCTCGTTTATACAGCTATCGGAATATAACGGAATTCTCGTATTTCACGTGCACGATTTCCCAAATTATGTAAACATCCGAAATTTCCTAACAATCTCGAATATTAGCTGCCAACCAAAGTGAATAACCACGGCATCCGTCGATTTGAAGCGAAAAATATTAATATTGCTGTAGCGTAGCGTAGAATATATTGTAAAAACACAAATCTAGGTCATTTCTGTACGACTAAAATTTCGCGTTCTATTAAGCTGTAGTCTATTATGTCCATATGGCTCTTGTAAATCACGAAGGCAACAGAACTTCTTGGAGTGTTTCTTTATTTTTCCGACCGACATTCGACTCGATCTTGGACACGCGGTGTATAAATGCGTTCTTTTCTCGACCAACTCTCCAACTGTAACGAACTGATATATGTCATCGACAAGGTCGCTAGATACATATATCGGCAACAAAAGTTAAAAATTAAAAATGTTACAAGAAAAGTTACAGAGCTCTCAAGAACTTTCACTTGAATAGATGTAATATTAGTAAGAACGAACTTGAAATATTTCACAAAATATATAAATTGTTTATATTCAATACATAGATATACACTGTAAAAAATAAAATGTTAATTTTAAAGACGTATAATGGACTTTCTGAGACATGTAAAAATGTCAAAATAAACATTTTTGTATTAATTTTTAAGTACATATTTTTTTTTGAAGATAGTAATACACTTTCAATTTTTAACACAGAAAAAGGCAATCTATTACATCTTTGAAAATTGGAATAACGCTCGAGATTATTATCTCTATATGAAAAATTAACTTTCTCATAATTGGACATTGCTCACGCCTAAGAGACAATCTCAGCATAGATGATTGATCGAGAGCAATAAATCTCGTTACAAAGCCGAGGGTTTCTTGGCTAAGAGAGGTGTCAAAAAAACGTCGGAATAAATAGATAGAGACGGTAGATAAAATGAAAAGCGAGAGATCGGCGCAGAAAGCAGTGCAAAGACCGAAGAGGGACGATTCGCTCTTGAGTAAGATTTACAAAGCTGAGAGGGAGAAATAAATGTTCGCCGCGCGACAAATAGACCTGAAGCAGGGATACTGTCGCTAGGAGCCTCGGCGCATTTTAAAAGGCACAGTATACAGACAACCTAGATTACGTATTACAGCGTCGTTTTAATAACATCGGAGAAATTTCAACGTGGAATTTTGAGGATCTAGTTAAATCTTCTTTTATTAAATACCTTATATAAATACAAGTACGTACAGATGACATGTTTGAGATATAGCACTTTTCCAACAGTATTATTAATAGACAAACGTCTAATTGATAGTTAACCCGTGTATTGTGGTTTTTTGTAAATTTTTTTTTTTTTTTTTTTTTAGAAAAAAAAAGTTTCTATCCATCAATAATAACGAGATTCAGATATCAATTTGCTTCAAATATGTAGTAGATCAAATATATCAATTTGCTTCAAATATATAGTAGATCAAATATTATTGGTAACCAAACTTTTCATCATGAAATGCAAAATCAAGTAAATCTTGAATATATTCAAATATATTTTTCTTTTATAACATTTGATGTCTGGAATATTTAAAAAATGAATTTTTTCTTAAAAATTTGTTTCTTAAAAAAAATTTTTTTTCTTTACAAAACTTTATTTTGCACACATACATTTTTTTTATAAAGCTATATTTGACACTATTTTATATAAAGACACAGATAATTTTATTTTTAAGAATCTTAAATACTTCAAATACTCAACTACTTCTGAGAAAACATTTTCTAGACATTTGAATGCTTCAAGAGTTTCAAGACATTTAAAATTTTCTAAAATCGTTCACATTTTCTAGAACTTCCAGAATTTCCTATAATATCCATAGTAATTCAAAGCTTTGTATAATTGTATTGTTTAACGTTCAAAAGAAAAATTCAAGTGCCCATTACTATAAAAGCTTTTTATGACTTTTATCTGATATCTTTTTGATCTCACCAGTGCTTTTGCTTTTACAGCTTTGCTTC